CACAAGATATTCCTGCTACTAAAATGAAAACAGATACAATGATGGAACACCTAGCAAATCCAATTCGATTCATAATTAATCATATTTCATCTTGGCCTGAAAATAGGACAGAGAAACCAATATGTTCGAATTTATACCAGGATTACCATATTTGGTGTGAAATAAATGGTGAAAATTCATTCACTAGTAAAAAATTTAGAAAACCCCCTCCAACGATTGGCATAGAACGCAAGCAAGTACGAATCAATGGAAAAAGAGAATGGGTCTACATCCTTGACCGATCCAATATCGTAGCTAAATTACGTGAGTCAATAGGTGATATCGAGGAATTTTCAGATTCACCTCAAGCTGAGATATCCTCCAACACATCCACAGATATCCCTGTATTTAACGTACCCGGAATTACACCTCCCGAACCAGAAAAAAAGATATCTGAGTTATCGACCACCGATCACATCAAAAAGGTAAGAATATATCGTCCGTCCCGTCTATTACTGATGAAACCCAAGATATCTTCGATTATATAACAAATGAAAGTTCGGTTGCTTCGTCATCTAAGTCTACTAATATATCTCTGCCTCCCGAGATCGTGGACGTAGAAGTTGTGGACGATAATGATGAAGTTAAACCATCTCCCGACTTACCTATTAATAATGAGCCCAAGACCAATAACGAAGAAGTCAGCACCCAATCGAAAACATATCCATCAGGTTACATACCCCGAGAAGAATGAGAAAAGTGTCTCAGGCAATGGGCAGTCGATCACGGCGAAGACCCAGATAAGTTCATTACTATTACTGAAAAAGACAAGGATTTAGCATGTATATACCATGATAGATTATGTTCGGACGCAGACATGATCCAATTCGCAAAAGATACCATGTCTAGACGAGAGCGATTAATAAGTGAGGAAATTATGCTCCGACTGTATGAAGACGATGGCAACCCCGAGCAATGAGTTATGATGATGAGGAATGGATAGAAAAAATAACGATACTCTACTCCAGGAAAATGGGTATCTATGGTAAGATCACTATATACAGTATACTAAGGAGTGGATAGGTGAATTTCGCAGGTAGGGGGGATTTTTTTGCTCCTACAAACTAGTCAATATAAAAATTTAGATAAAAAATATTACGCAAACTCTGTTAAATATACCTATATATACTGTAATAGTTTTTGTGACGCCTAAAAACGATATTTGGTAAAATTTTAGTTAATTTTTCATTCTCAAATTTAATTTTAAATATGAAAGCGAGAATAGAATAATATAACTATTTGGGAATTGAAAATGCCTTGTAATTTGTTATTAGTTGGAGATGCAAATTTATGTAAAAACCCAGCAAAAGGTCAATATTGCACTTCCCATGCATTTAAGATTCGAAAAGGGTGTAATAATACTCCAACCTTGTAAAGGATGTGGACGAGGAACTAAATCGAGTCTTCAGCTTTGTGTCCCGTGTGGTCAAGGTAGGGAAAGAGCGTATAAATATTATAAACAAAAGTGTATAAGAGAAACTCTGCGTGCTTAGTTTCTGTATACGCGAAGCAATTTACTAGATAAGTATTATCATTTATTTTTCCTACACAATCCAGGTCTTTGAAAAATAACCAATTAAACTTATCATTTTCATAAGTAACAATCAACTATTATTATTTTCATAACTATATACGACGCTATATATCACACCAAAAAATGTATAAAATGTATACCGAAGAGCCGGAATATAACAAAGAAACGATTACCGCTAAGGAATTATCCAAACTAGCTGGGCGTTGGAAGAAATAAAAAATATATAACCCCAAAACGAATCGTATGATTGTGATCGATGGGCCGACATATAATAGATTGATACGTGATGGATATATACATTGGGAAGAGGAAGGACTATTAATCCCTCCAATTCGTGAGGAATAAACATTAGAAAAATAAACCGATATATTATTATATAGTCTGGGCTCCTACCCCCAAAGCTATAAAAATTTTTTGTTATACCCTATGTATTGGTAAATTTCAAATCGATGACCATTTACCCATATGTAGGCGTATACTCTCGTTTTCCGAACATGGGGAAAAAGGATAATTAATTTCTATTTGAAAAAAGAATCCCCATAGTATATATCAGACGAAAATAGTCTACACAAACCATCCCAATTAACATATACTAACCATGGCAAAAATCGCTGCAACATTTGTAAATTGACACCACAAACTAGTTTACTCCAGCTTAGTAGTTATGCCGAAGAGTTGGCTGGTAAACTATCAGATGGTAAAACAAAAGAGCAGGCTCGAAAAGCTAGAGATCAGGCAAGGAGGCGCTTCCAACAGTTGGGATTGAGTAAGGAGCAAGCTGATACTCTTATTCCGATTCGAGCTCCTGGGAGACATGTTGAGGAAAGAGATCCCATCAAAATTATCGCCCAAGACATTATAAAAAATAATCTCTCACCTGAAGAGATAAATGGAATATCATATGACTTGGCTTCTTTTGCTCCTACTACTGTTGCAGGGAGTTCTCGTCTTAATTTATTACGAAAAGAATTGCGTAGCTTAGGAGCTGACTATCTCATTACTGAGGCAACGAAAATACCCTTTATTACTGAAGAAGCAAATCAGATTCAAGCAAGAAAACGTATACTTCGTGGAATTAATGGCTATGATTGTCCCGAGTTCTTTTACCTGGAAAAAGTTCAGAAAAGACTTAATGAATGTGATATTAACAAGCCTCCTTCAATGCAAAATCTAATAGACGTAATGATAATGCTATGTATGCGATCGGCAGATATGAAAAATCTTCGTATCAATCAATACAGACCAAGTCGTGAGTCGTGGCATAATCCTGACTATTCTTGGTACTGTATTGGTTATGCAAAAAATAAAGGTGAAGTAGAAGAACCCCGACCATTCCTTTCAATAGAAAAAAATCCAATACGAGCAAGAGAATCACTTATCTGGATTCAGAGATCAATACCAGATAAATTTCCCTTCTTGTTAAAAGATAAGGATGGAAATACTAATGTTGCACCTCTTAATCAATTCTTAAGTTGCCATAGAATTGCTTCATTCATATTAAGAAAAATAGGAGCTGATCACGCTTCCAGAGTACATGGAGGTAGGAATGATTCCCGCCGTCAATATTTACGACAATTGGCATGTAGGCATAAAATAGGTCATGCTTCATCAGTTGAACATTATGGTGTAATGAATTATAGGCCAAATACTCCAGCACCTAAACAAGAAAATAGTGAAGTTGAGGATATCATCGACTTGTATGGAGAAATTTCTGATGATGATAACTAATCACGCTTCTTCACTTTTATTGCAGAACAATGGCTTTTGCCCATCATATCTACAGTAAAATCTTTATCATCATTAGATGATTCAGAGTCGGACCCAGATGAAGATGAGGGTGAGGTCTCAGATGTGGTATCATTTAAAAATCTCTTTTCTTTTAGCCTTACATGATGTACGATTTTTTCGAGAAATATCCGGGTTTGTTATTGCATTTATAATTTCTTGCTGAATTTCGAGTTTCACTATCTCCAGTAATTGGTGGAGAGAGATCCAGATTTTTTTACTTGATACGTACTTGCTTAACAATATCAGATACAGCTTTTTCAAATCCCAATTTTTTCGCAATCTCATAAGTGATAATTGGACATTCTGAACCCGAATCAATTACACTCTGTTGCTTTAACATTGCTTCAAATTTTTTACAGACACTTTGCATTTTCTCAGGATTATTTGCTTCGGTCATTGTAATAGTTAAATTCTTTTATAAATACAAATTTAAAAATGCGCCTAAATTAATTATGGAAATCACTAGACGAATAAGTTCTGAAGATAAAGATAGTAGATTTTTCAGGGAGATGACTACACATCCGATTGGATGGACCGTGTTTTCACTTACTTTTACTTCAAGTGTAGAATGTAGTCGATTTAGCAAACAATATACATCTATTACAATTCCAAAATTCCAACCCAGGTATTAATCGTAAAACATCATCCCGAATTTCCCAATTATATCATGTTAGGGTTTGATTGGTTCACCGGTCGAAAATATGATGAAGAGCTCCAGACATATAGAGCGGAAATTATAACTGACCCAAAGAATGGTTGGGTAAGGACAACTCTTCGTATCAAAAATCTTGCCGGAAGGAAAGGAAAATCCATAGTAGTACTGTACCTGTGTATAAATTTGATAGAAGCGAGCTTCATTGCTACGCAATAATCAGTCGGGTTCTTCGGATTCTCGCTTACAGCAAAATAAAAGCAAGAAAAATAAGGTCAAGTATTCCATCATAGAATCTGAATCAGATATTAACTCTGATACTTCTGCATCGAGCACTTCTTCGTCTAGTTCGGGATCAGAAGATACACATGTATATAAGAGCGTGCGATGTCGCAAAGTAAAAAAGAAAAATTAATTATAACCACATCGCATCGTAACTACGAAATTACATCACATTATAACGGGCCTCAGGGGAGCGATGTCATGTGTTTTATTTCAAATAAATGGCTCGAAGAGCCTGAATCCACGAATCGGATATCAGCATAGGAATATTTCGGTGAAATGGCATCATCTCGTAGTCTACGCTTTCACCGTTATTATTTGGATTGAATTTTGATAAGCCTCACAACATTTGAGACGATAAGTTTTTATATTGGCATAATCCCCACTACCCCATTCACCTTCTACATCATATCTTATATTTTCTTTTTTATGATCTTTATTGCATATAGGGCAGGATACTGAACTATTAAAATCAAAATAATCGAGACTTTTATTGCTATACTTCGAAGATAAATAAGTAAATCGCTCTAATACCATTTTTATAACGTGTTGTTGCCTTTCTTCAGGGTTTTTAGGTAGAACAGAAATTGGGAATTGTCGTTAAGATGGTGTAGATTGAATATTTACCCGTGGTACAAATAAAGTCTTTTCCTCAAAAGATATCTGTGTGAATTGAGCATGGATTTTTTCCCATTCTTCCATAAGATCATCGAGCCATGCAGTACTCAAACCACTTTTTAGTATACCTTGACGTAATAACTCTTCACCGACCAGCCTCTCCCGATCTGTTAAAAATTCACGATATTTTCTAGGGTCTTTTCTTTCTATTCCACCACGATAGAAACATGTACAGTATCTCTTTCCAAATCCCCACGAAAACATCCCATGGTCCACCTATTTTTCTCAGCCTCTGTAATGATCGAAAATTTCTCGGGATCTATTCCGTGTTTGACGGCATATTGGCGTAAGCCTGCTTCTGGCTGATAAATGCGTATTTTTGTTTGGTACCCCTCCCTGAGTTTCCTGTAAACTCTGCACAGCAATAATAACTTTCTTTTGATCAATGCGAAAAGGACAGTTGAGAAAATAGTGATCATTTTTACCTAGACAGCTCCAATCACCCCATATACCTAAACGTGTATGAACTTCATTGCATACAGGACATTTAGCTTCTGAGTCAGTATATTTAAAAACAACTCGGTACTATGCATTCGATTTAGTATATGTTAAGAAAGGGAATCGTTCTTGTACTGCTTCATGGATACTTTTTTCTTCCGGAAACTTGGAAATCTCGACAATACAACCTCGTGAAGCATCCTCCTCCCCCGCCCATTCTTCATACTCCTATCCTTTTACATTTGTAAAATAACGTCTACTATCAGTAAAGTTTTTATTTTTCTGTGAGAAGCTATGCATTTCGTAGATAATAATTCAAAAAACGTTTGAATTTAGATTCTTACAATATTATTGAAACCGAAGACTGGACAAGTTAGTGGAACATTATCGTGCAAATTTAGAGAGAAAAGATTGGTGCCACATACTAGATAATATCAAAAAGGACCTTAAAAATGTGGAGCTTTTGGAGTCTGGATTTGACGAGGAACGGAGAAAAAAAGCTCAAGAAATAATTGACCACTGGAAAGTAAGTTTATTAGTAAGATAGAATTTTAATGAGTTTAAGGAAAGCTGGCGACTCTTAGTCACAGTTATGAACTCTTGGTTCTTCCATTTCAAGCGCAAGCTGGGAACTCTTAGTTCCAGTGGCACACCTAGTCCACAGCTATGAACTCTTAGTTCGACGTTTGAGCGCAAGCTGTAACTCATAGTTCCACAATGATGAACCCTTGGCTCGACGCAACAATTCTTGTAGTATTTCTAATTCTATGTTTTGTTTTGTTAAGTATTGGAGGACTATATCGGCAAAGAGAAAGATGGAATTGAAACTCGATTTTTCGCATTTTAAGATTGATACGATGCAGGTGGGACCTTAATATTAAAATCTTGTAAGATAAGGCATGCCCGGTAACATTTTCTTTCAATCAGGTAAAGCAACAAATGCTTGCAACAGGAAGTAATGCGATACAATTTAACGATAACCGAAAACATCTCCGAGATAGTGATGGCAAAGCTGTGGAAATTTCTAGCGAAAAGACTATTGCTTGCGGTAAGGATAGTAATAATTTTGGGCAGTATGGGAAATTAACGTGTACTTACACCGTCTCCCAAAAAGAACGCAACACCTGATCGGCGATCTTTAAATGCTAAAATTTTAAGTACGTTAAATCAAATTATGATGAAATTTATAATATACAGTAGATAGAATATAAGTATGCTTAAATAATGTATAAGTTAAAATAAATATTAAATTATATAAAAATTTTTTCATGATAATTTTTTTAAAATTTACTGTTGCATTATTTTTGGAATTTTTTTAAAAAAATAATAAATTTTATTTATTTATAAAAAAATTCATATATATAATTATACAAATATATTTGATTTCAATTACCATCTTGTATAATTACCTTTGACTTAATAATATTATTAATTCTTTTAGACATTATTTCTATATATTCCTTACAAGTTTTTTCAGATGTTTCATTTCAAATCTCTAATAAATTATTCCAGAGAGTTTCTTTGTCATTAATATTAATCTCTAAATCATTAACTTTTCTTTTAACATTATTCCAGATATTTTCTATTGAATTTAGGTCTCGAGATTTTGATGGCCAAGAAATAGTTCTAATTTTGTTATTTTTTAATCATCTTTGAACTCTTTTAGCCTTATGTTTAGAATCATTATCATGTTAAAATATAATATATTTAGGAGTTAAGTAATAGTATCTTAAAGAATACATTAATTCTTCTTTCAAAATTTGTCTATAAAACTCTGCATTAAAATTTCTTTCAATTCTAGATAAATATTTATTCTGTACCATAATAAGTAAAACATCTCTACATGTTAATAATATCTTTACTAAATTTAATTATAAGAATTATATGTTTATTCTTTAAAGATTCCATATATATTTTTTAGCAATATTTATATCCTTCAGCTTCAAAAAGTTGAAATTTAATTTTATCAGATTAAATCACTATACCTCAATTTTTTATGGTTCAATTTTTATATAATTTTACAAATTTTAATCAGATTTTTTTCTATTTTTTACTTAAAAAAAATTTCTTATACCATATACTGTATATACTTTAAATCCATTTTTCTTAAAAATTCTTCAAATTGTATTGATACTAATATTTATTTTTTTCATATTTTATCAAGGATCTATATACTATATATCTATGATGATTTTATATTTTTTTTTTTTAGAATTTTTTTAATAACAATAAGTTCTTTATGTGAAGTAAATTTAAATAAATAACCAGAAATAGATTTATTTTCTAATTTGTTTGTTTCAAGATTTTTTTTTTAAGTCTAGATATAATGGAATAATGAACATTATTACCAATTTTGATAGCAATTTGATATAAACTATAATTTTTTGCTAATAAGATAATAGCATTTGCCCTTTTTTCTATAATTAACTGTCTTAAAAATATTTGGTTTATATAAGGTTTAAATATATTTTTGCATTTTTATATTTTAACAAAAAAAATGTCAAAAATCATACAATAGTAAATTTTTATTAATTGCATTATAAAAAATTTTTTTATTATTTTAATACTATTCTATTATATATATTAAAAGATTAGATCAAAAAATTTTCTTATTCTTTCCATGGATCCTCTAACCATATACAAAAAAGATGTTTGTAAGAAGTTTTAATATTTCTATACTAATAAAGTTTTATTACTTTCCTTATACCAATCCAAAAAGTTTCCTCAGAGCTTTCTCACTTTCTTTCCCTCTTATCTATAATCTCCTTTGAACAAATTGAACTCCCATGACTTGCAAAGTTCAGCTTCTACCTTTACTACCTATGGCAAGAAAATTCCTAAAGGAAAAAGGACCAATAGTGAAGTACCTTCCTTCTCTTAGTTATGGTGGAGATAATAGAGGTTAAAAACCAGTCAAAGGACTTATTTTCTACCCTTTGAATGGTGTTGTAGCCTCTCAGAGCTATCTTTTTCATGGCTTTCTGGGAAATTTTGCCTACTCCAGCTTGATCCTAAAATTTCAGATAGCACGGATCTTACCAACTCTGATTGGTCAACACAAAACACATTAAACAAGATTGATAAACAAGCTTCTATTGACTACCTCATGTGTCTGAATGTATTTCCTCAGCTCCATAAGAACCTGGAGTCCATTATAAGTCATTTTGTCTGACGCAGATAGATACAGAACATGAAACCGATACATCAGGGGATATAAAAAAGAGTTCTTCCAACCATGGTAAAGGTTACAAGATGTTAGATAGCTTCCTTTTAAAGATCAAAACTGCCTATTTCTGATTGCATGTCAGGTAGATCTCAACCTCTACTGTCCAGAAAGTCTAAATCAGAGAAAACAGGAAACCACTTAGGATACTCAGTAGTAAAACTCATGCGCAAAATAACCCAAGAAGTTTTTGTCCTATCTTCAAAAAATCCTGAGCTGGAAGACTGAAAGGTTAACACCACTACACCAATTAAAACTCGAGTCTGAAAATATCAGCAGTGATGTGCGAGCTGGCTGGAATGTCTGGAAAATTCTCGTTGATCATTAGTATCAATGGTTACCAATAGGGTATAACAACTGCAAGGCTAGGTGCTGTCCTTCATATAAGGAATTAAATCTAAAATAAGATGTACAGATGGATAAATATACCCATATTTAGATAGAAATAGGTTTATTTGACAATATATTGGGAGATTCTCAAGTTAATCATGCAGACACCAATATACCACCTGGACCTTTCTGGCTACTTCCTCTACATAAGCCTTAAAACTATATAGTCTCCCCTTTGGTCTTTATCTTATCTCCATAAAGACTCAGTAAAAGTTTTCTTTAGACCTTCCTATGAAGAATTAGAACAAGACAGGCATATGCCAAGAAACAGAACCATCACATTTCACATGACTGTTAAGTTTTCCTTTTATTTTTTTTATTTTTTATTTATGACACCAGCACACTCTCGGGATGTTGATTTTCTTTATAAAAAGAAAGGGCAATAAGCCTCAAAGTAGCTTTAAAATTACTTTAACTTATTATTATCTTTATCCTCCCCGAATATATATTTATGTATTCATGCTTTGCGCAATGTAAACTTGTAATTTGGGATTCAATAAAGTTAGGCATGAGCCCATTTAAAAAAAAAAAAAAAAAAAAATTAATAATTATCAGAAGATAAGTTTTTAAGTAAAGAGATTTATAAACAAGAGAAAAAAAATAGAAATGATTCTTGAAGCTATATTTCTAATTATTTTAATGAAAATATTAATATTTTATTAATAAAGAAATAAAAAAAATTTCTTGTGAATATTTTTTTTATACTGTATATAGTCAAAAAATTAATGAAAAAAGTTTATTAATTATAAAGAAAAAAATTTTAATTAAAATAAATTATTTATTTTTAATAAATTAATTATAAAAAGATTAAACTTATATAGATAAATAAAATATATAACTTATAAATATATACAATATATATTAATGTTTAATAAAATATATAACTTGTAAATATATATAGTATATATTAATTGTTTAATAAAATATTTAATAAAAAAAAAAAAATACAAAAAAAATCAAATAAAAAATTATAAATTATAAAAAAGTTAAAAATAATTATTTAAGTTAATTAAATATATATATATTTTTTTTTAGAAAGGATAACGAAGCCCAGTTTATTGAAGTCGATAAAACAGATCTTACATATTAGTCTAGCTGTTAATTACAGGATGATTCTATAATCAATCTTATGCTAACTATAACAAGTTATATCCATCCTACCATTATATTCATAAACCTGATTGTAACACCTTATGTACCTCCATGACTTGTTGCTGGAAGAAGCCCTACTACCTCACTACCTATGTCTGTGTTACTCTTCCCTGACTCTCATTTCTACAGACCTAGGGTCTGTAACACAGGACCTCTTTTATATCTCATCCCGCTGAATATTCTTTTTACAATACTTATTACAATATGCCTACGGAATATCCACGTGAAGTCTTAGATATCATCTTGTCCTGTTGAAACACTCTTTTTATATGACCTATTATAGCCTACCTATGGAGTGACCACGTGGAGTCTTGGATTAATGTTGATTTGATAGAGACCCTCTTCTAACTAACGTGTCTAGGCTCTGCTAGCTTTCTTGATTTTACGGTGTGCAGATCTTCAACCTATCTGCAGGAGCTTAAAAGAATCTATCTTGTGATGAGATGGCTTCAGCACTAAAATCGGCTAAAGCATTTTGTGATCTTTAAATACCCCGTAATCAGATGGGGTCTTGGTCAGAGGTGGTTAGATCATCATCATGAAACAGATGTGATCTTTTTATATCACCTAGGCTTTAGGTGGTACTGCTTCGCAGTGGTATTGAACTCAGAAACAGTACTTGGTGACTTGGAAGTATTACTACTATGCTATTGATCCATAGGTCTTTAAGTTAATTAAATATACCTTTAAAATTAATCAAAATATATTAAGTTTTGTAAAGATTTGATAAAAAATAATTTATTTATAAAAATATTAAAATTAATTATTATAGAAAAAAAATTAATAATAAAATAAAATAAGTCAAAAATAAAAAACTCTTTCTGCTGATTTTCTATCTATACATAACAAAAATGTTCACAAGAAATTTTTTATTTTTTTGTTAATAAAGTCTTAACACTATTCTT